GATATCAGCTGCTATCCGGTGCCCCCTCCCCCAGCTCTGAACTCTGAAAGGCTTTGATTCTCTCTCCTGGTTAGCAAAGGTCAGGAACCCTGCGGTCTTTGTGAATATAGCACAGGGCAGCAGGGAGGAGGGCAAGGGCGGGAACAGGGCTGGATCCACACCCCAGCGGCGGCATATGTCTTCCACCACCTGTCTCCAGGAAGGGTCTCAAAGGCGTCTCCAGTCCCTGGACTGCCGACAGCAGAGCTTTTGCAAATTCAGCCTGGATCCAGGAAGAGAGAGCGTCCCCCATGTGCAGCTCTGGAGGAGCTGCTATCCCTGAGCCTCATCATCCGGGTCATGGAAAGAGGAACCTGAGAGCCCCCTCTCTTCCCCCGACTCTGGGAAGTAGACTGAGCAGCAGACCAGGAGTCCAGAGGTGGGCTTCCTCCCACCTCCTCTCAGTGGGCTGCAACCCTGCCTTTGACTGTGGCTGGGAAAATGCAGGCAGCACTCTGGGAGGCTGAGGCAGGAAGATACAAGTTAGAGCCCAGCCTGGACAAATTAGCCACTCAGTGAGAACCTATCTCAGTCACAATCAATTCATTAATTGAAAGGCTGGGGACATAGTTCAGTGGCTAGGACCTGGGTTCAATCCCTAGTGCCTAAAACAAAGTGGCTTCCCCTAGCACTTCCACCATCCTCCAAACTTCCCCACACACTGGACCCAAAGGCCCAGCTGACCCTCAGCCCTTGCCCTGAGACCCTATGAACAGTGGCACCAGCTGGGTGCACCAGGGCTTTGCAGGTTCCACCTCCCAGCGCCCTATGTGGTTTTGTTTTGTTTTGTTTTGTTTTGCAGTCCTGGGGATCAAACTCAGGACCTTGCGCTTTCAAGGCAGGTATGGTGCTACTGAGCTAAATCCCCGGCCCACAGCGTCCTATGTGAATAGAGTCCTCTTCGCAGTCGCTCTCTCCTTCTCTGAGCACTGACCATGGCATGGAATCTATGTGCTCATTTATGTGGCATCAGCCCTCTCTCTTAGACCCTGTGGATGGCCCTGATTTAAAATGCTTTGTCCTGGGGTTTTCGATTTTGTGGTGAGGCAAAGCACAGCCATACAACCATTCGGGATCCCACCTTCAGAGCAGTGTTCTACAAAGTACAAGACATTCTGCCTTTACTATAAAAAGGGCATCATGTTAGTTGACTCTGCCGCTGCCAGCCAGTGTGAGTGTTCTGAGCACGTGTAAGGCAGGCTCAGAGAAGTCAGTCATTTCCCCAGCGTCACACAGTTTGTAAGTGGAGCTGGAGTTCACACCCAGGTGACCCGGCAGGTCCCCTGTGCTGCTAAGCGCTGCCTGGAGATGCCAGGAGGAGCTGGAGTCTCAAGCTGAACACCGGTAACAGTCACTTTTCCATTGCTGGGATAAAATACCTGACATACACAACCTAAAGGAGAAAAGGTTTTGGTCGGGTTGGCTGGCTCCAAGGCACAAATATGGCAGAAGGGCACGGTGAAAGGAAAGCTATTCACCTCGTGGCAGCCAGAAAGCAGAGAGCCAGAGAGTGAGTTAAGGGCTGTGGACAGGAACACAGCCCTTGGGTTACACCTCCTGTGACCCACTTCCTCCAACATGGCCCCACTTCCTCCTAACAGCAAGTTCAGTCACGAACCCATTCACGGATTAAACCTCCAGGGAGTGTAGCGCCCCCATGGTCCAATCACCTTCCCAAAGCCCCTTCTCCAGGCATGGGAGACTTTAAAAGGACACTTAGACCTAAACTATAGCAGCACAGATGCTAAGAACTGCCCAACCGTGGAGCCTCCACGTTCTCCTGCATTAAGTTCCCAGTGTCACTGGGAGCAGTCAGACTCTATTTGCGATGGGAGCCTGGCTGGGAACACCCTTTGTGGCCCGAGCTCTCTCTCTTCTTCCCTGCAGGTCACCACGGACTGGGTATGGTGGGCATGGAAACATAAGTCACCTTCTCAGCCCTGCTCAGGGAGGAGGAAGTACGTCAGGATAGCACTTCCGCCTGCACTGTCACCCAGTCCTGAGTGTCTGTCCCCACCCTGCCCACAGCTCACGCCATGTCCCCTCGAACCTGTGCAACTGTGGCCTCCTCCTCCCACCTGGACCCCTGCAGTGCTCCGACCCACTCACAGACCTCTCTTACAGACCTAGCAGGATCTGTTCCCTCTTCCTCCTCCTTTCCGCTCATCCCAAGACCCCCTGACCTCTGACCCCTGCAGCCCAAGCTCTGCCCCTCCCCCACACCCAGGCGCCCTCATCACAGCTCCATCCCTCTGACCCCTGCAGCCCAAGCTCTGCCCCTCCCCCACACCCAGGCGCCCTCATCACAGCTCCTGGAGGTTCAGCCCCAGTGCACTGTTGCCTCTCTGGGGAGTCCTCTCCGGACACCTCCACCCCATTTTTCTGCTGCATCACACTTATCCCTGAGTCTAAATCCAAGCTGACCTCATTTTCTTATCATGTATTCATTTTATGTCTGCCTCCCCCCACCAGAATGCCAGGCAGCTCCAAGAGGGCAGCGACGGTGTTTGCTCTCTGCTCTGATCCTGGGACCCAGAGTGGTGCATGCCTCAGAGTAGGTACCCAACACGTGTTTGTTGAATGACTGACTGACTGAATGAATGAAAATGTTTCACCTCAGAGGGTGCTGGGCAGGTGCATGCCACCCGTCCCAAGCCCCTGATGTGCCAATCCTGGCAGTAAGGGAGGGCAGAGGAAGGGGAACAAGGCCACTCCCAGCCTGTGCTGAGCCTCAGGGGTGACAGCCACTCAGAGAGAGATGGATGCACCTGCCTGGGGTGGCTGCCTGGGGAAGCAGCTTGCTATTAATAACAGCAGTAGCACCTGCCAGGGGCAGGAGACAGCATGGGAGACAGAAGGATGCTCCCTCCACACCAAGCTGGGGCACACGAGGATAGGGGAACAGCACCCTGCTTTCTAGGAGACCGGAATGTCATTTTTTGGAGGCTGGCTTCTCAGTGGGTCTGGGATGCGTCTGGGGCTCTCCCATACACGGAGAGTTCTGCCCTAGTGGAGTAGACCTGCAAGTCACCAGCTGGGGCAGAAGGGTGTCCTCTCCCACCTCTGGCCTTGGCTGTCACCGCAGAGGACCCTAGCGGAAAGGGGCAGAGTCTAGGACCTGGGACGGGGGAGAGGGAAGTCCCTTAACTCCTCTTGCTTCTGTCTCCGGGATGGTTACTGGGGAACAAAAATAAAAGCAGGTATGGGGGCAGAGGAAGAGGTAGAGAGGGAGAAGGGGGGTTACCCGGCTGCTTGGTGGCCGCTCCAGCCATGGGCAGGGAGCCCGACTCAGATGCCCCTGACCCCTGGCTTAGCCCTAGTCCTAGGGAGCAGAGGGTTTTGAGGAGCTGGTAGAGCCACTGATAGGAGAGAGGGCAGCTGTTCTCTCTCCCAGCAAGAAAAGAAGCCCCATTGCAGTTATTTTTAGGGAGAACAGCACCTAGTCACCTCCTAGGACACCTTCTGCTTGTGGCACACCGTACCTCCCCGTGGCAGTCAGGTGAGAATGTTGGGGACCCCCTACTGCATCCCACACCCTGCCATGCTCAGGTGTGCCACTCCACCTGACCCAGACCTCACAGCCTCCTAGAGCCCCTCCCCTCCCCTCCAGCCCCTGCCGGGCCCCCGTCTCTCCTTATCCCTTCTCTGGCCCACAAGCCTGAATCCTCTGGTGCTGGGCCATCTACACTTCAGAACCCAGGGGCTGTGCTAGTCTCCAGGCGCTCTCCAGAGGCCCCAGCCCCTGCTCCGCAAGGCCTAGCACACCCACTCCAGCCTTACTCACAAGGCCAGCCTGGCCTGCCAGGCCCCTGCATCCATGCTGGGGGAGGCCCCAGAAAGCTCAGGGTTGGGGTTGGCATTGGCTTGGAGCCTCGGAGGCCTGCGAATTGCATCCGGAGCGGACAGAGGATGTTGTTAGCAAGTTCCTAATGAAGCCACATTTCCGCTGCCTTCAGGATGTGGCACTGAGCACTGCGCCAGAGACACTGCACGCTCCTAAAAGGGGTGGCACTGGGGACTTGGGCAGCCATCTCTGTTAGGCTGGGGGTGTGGGGGTCCCTGCATGGCCCTGAGTGTGACTGTTAGCCCTTGCCCTGCTCCTTGTTTTTTCCTCACACAGTGGGCTTCCCCAGGCACTGGAGCCCGAGCCACTTTCCTGAATTAGGCCCTGGGCTGAGCCAAAGCCTTCTGACTTCACAGGTGGGGACGGTCATTATCCCATGGGCGGCGAGGGCATGGAAGCTCAGGGAGGTCAAACCGCTTGTCTAAGGTCGCAGAGCTAAGCCCTGGCACTGCTGTGATAAGGACATGGGTCTGGGTGGCTTCCTGGGGCAGAAGGTGCCCTGTATCACAAGCACCGAGTGTTTATTCAAGATGAAAGGAAATTGCCTGAGCACAGCAAGGAGCCAGGAGAGAGAACACTGGGCCCTGGATGGGGAAGGGAAATCTTCCTGCGTCTGCCAGTCCCTGGCAAAGTCCTCCAGGGATGTTCCAGCCAGGGCGGAAGAAGGCGCCTCAGGGAGGCCATGGCCCAGGTGGGGATTGGGGTGGTGACAACGCCCAGCTTTTGGGGAGTGTGTGGGTGTCACATGTCATATGCACGCTACAGAGTGTCTATGTAGTGTATGTGCATAGGACTCATGTAAAGCATGTACTATGCATGCAATGCCCACATAGTGCACAAGGAAGGCATACGAGTGCCCTTCTCCCGCACATGTGGTCGAGGGGCACTAGGACCCTCCCACCCAGGATCCTGGGCCAGGCGCTGCTATCTCCCCTCCAGCCTCTAGGAGGCGCGCCACCTCCCATGTGAGCCTTTCCCGGAGCAGTCCTCATCCAGGCCCCCACAAGCACGTGGGAGCTTTGCTTTTTATTTAGACTGATTTATTATTGAAACGACTTGAGTCCGTTTCAAAGTAAGTGAAATGAGAAAAGATCTTCGGCTCCAGTCTCATAAATCAAGGGGAATACAAAGAAAGGAGGAAACAAAGAAATCACAGCTGCCTGGAAAGTGACGGGCTTTCGTGGCCAGTATAGGAGAGAGCAGGGCCGGGAGCCAACAGAGGGTCCTGGGAGCGAATCTTTCCTTCTTTCCTCCAGCTGGGGAGCCTGGCTCAGGAGCTGTCCTCCTCCTGCCACCTTGCTGGGCGAGAGGCTAGAGTCTCTGTAGCTTGGGGTGGTAACATCTGGGACCTCTTGTCCTTGTTCCTTCCAGAGGCACCTTCCCCTGCCCCAGGGTTCCTGGAGAAGGAAGGTGGGGACTCTGTGTGGTGTGGTTTGGGGCTGGGAGTTGGGGTCAGGGTCTCTGGATCCTGGATATCAGTAGGGAGATGTGATTGTTGGTGTGGCTGTGGGGTTATGTGATGCTGCTCAAAACCTGCTTTGTAAGCCGGGAGTGGTGGCGCATGCCTGTAATCCCAGCACTCGGGAGGCTGAGGCAAGGGGATCGCTGTGAGCTCGAGACCAGTCTGGGCTACATAGTGAGTTCCAGGTCAGTCTCAACTACATAGTGAGACCCTGTCTCAAAACACAAACAAACAAACAAAAAGCAAACCTGCTTTGTGTGTCTCCATGTGTGTGGATACATGTGTGTGTGTGCGTGTGTGTATGTGTGCTCAAGCACTCAGCCAGGCCTGGCCTGGAAGATCAAATCCATCTTAGATAAAAGGAAACCTCTGGCTGCCAGCCCTGTTGACCTAAAAGCTGGGCTGCTTTTCTTTGGTGCCCAGCTGTCCCCAGCTCTTAGCTCTAGCAGGATACAGGGCCCACCGCCTGGGGCAGGGTGCACATCAGACCCAGGCCAATCACCAGCTGCAAGATGGGACAGCCCGGGTGTGGAACCCACACCAAGACAGCAAAGAGAGAGGGCAGCAGGTACCTGAGGCACACACAGGCAGAGAGCCTGACCCACCGCACCCAGGAGTCAGAGGGAGGCAGAGCCCCAGGTGGGAAATCCAGGGAGAGAGAAGTTGAGTGGCACTGGCAGGGTCAGAGGGACAGGGCTGACATCTCCGCTGCTGGTGGCCGGTGGCAGGAGAGGCACTTCTGATCCCTCCAGTGCTCCAGGCAAGCTCATTTGTGATTTCACCCAGGTCCTCAACCACATCTGCAAAAAAACCCCAACCCCGCTAAATATCACTCACTGTCTGTCATTTTCATTTCGCTTTTGTCTTCAGAATAAAGAGAACCAAAAACTCCTGAGGTGGTTTTTACACATCTGACTCTCAGTCCCCCCACTCCTTTCCTCCTGATCCTGCTCCTTTTGTCCTTGTCCTGGGCTTCTGCTCCTGGCTCCTGCTCCTCCCACCTGGAGGTCGGGGGGGCCCCTCACCCCCCCATGCTCCCGATGGGCCCCCACCCCTTGGCCCGACAGCCAGCGCTCTGGGTTCTGCCACTTCCGTGAGCCTGGGGCTGGGGTGGGGGCCTGCAGGTTGACAGGGTCCATAAATCATAGTGGCAAGGGGGCACTGGGCAGGGCGGGGCGGGACAAAGTGCTGACACGGCACCTGCCTGGGAGTCGGGGTTCCGCCCGCGGAGCCCGGGCTGCCCTGCACGCAAGCGAAGAGTCGGAGTTGCAGTGCGGGACTCTTGGCGTGAGCTCCACAGACCGCGGGACAAGAATTGAGCTGAAGCGGAAGCGGAAGCAAGCGGGATTGAGGGGAGGCTGAAGGAAGAACTTACTGTTGGACGGGAAACGCTGAAATGGGAGTCCTGGGAAATGGGGCCAGTCCTTGGCTAGGAGGTCGTACAGCCGGGTGGATTCTGTCTGCGGGTCACACCCGGGGCTGCCTGGAGATGGAGTGAGTGGGAAGGGCCACTCGACTGTCCGAGAGGACGGTGGGAGTCAAGACAGCAAAGAAGTCACCAGCAGGGTTTGGGCCCCGCGCCTCCCTCTGCCCTGCTGTGTGTCTTTGCCCAAGACGCTCAAGCTGGCGGGTCTCTTCCTCACAAATGGGGTTGTACATCTTCCCAGTTGCTGTGAGGTTTAAAGGGCTCAGCACACAGGACTCTCCATAAAGCACAGCTGTCATCATCGGGCAGGACACTCAGGTGACACCTCTGTGTCTTCAGCGGTAAAATCAAACACCAACTCTCACTCCTTCAACACCCAGCCATCGGGCCACTTCTGTGTGCCAAGCTCAGTCCAGGCGCCAGGGTGCAGTGACTCACGTGGCAGACGTGATCCTGCCCTCGTGAGCTCACATTCTAACTGGGAGGAGCGGGGGAAACAGGAAACAGCTGTGCTCCGGGAAAATGCTGCTGAAGAAGGGTGGGGCAGAGAGGTGGGGTGGGAGGGGCTGCTGATGGGATGACGTTTGAACAGAGAACTTTAGGACCAGAAGTGAGCTCCTCAGATGTGGGGGAGGAGCAGAGGTGCATAGGCCCTGAGGCAAGCACTTGCATGGTGAGTTTGAGGGACAGGAAGGAGGCATTTGGCCGGATGGAAGAGGCAGGGGAGACTGGAAGGAGATGCTGTTCAGGCGGAACAGGTAGCTCAGGTAAGGGCTTCATCTTTTGCCCTGTGAAATCTAGTGTTCTGCAGAATTTTGATAACAAGAGTTCACCTGCAGAGGGCAGCGATTTGTTTGCAACATTCTAGACCACTTGAACTTTCAGCTGCGTTTATCTGTTCTGGATCTGGAGACCAGCAAGCCTCCAGCGTCATCCCCTGCTCACAGCCTCCTGTTTCTGTCCTGTTTCTGATCCATGGCGATCAGCCCTGGCTTTTCAATGTAAAAACATTCTGTGTTGCCATAAATGGAGAGGAGTTTAATGCATGCAACCTCACTCCAGCCCACAGCTTTATCTTTGTTTTGTAAATGTGGCAGTGAAGCTCTGGGAGGTTCTGTGCTTGCTGGAGGCACATAGGCCATATGGTGTGGAGGAAAGGGATTGTGATGACCCCCACTTTATGAGCAGTTTTGTAAATGTGTGAGTTCTAAAATGAGCAGCAGTATCTTGGGGTTTTTCCCCTGAAGGCTATTGCCAGAGGTATCCTGCAAGCTGAGGTGAACACGTAGCCTATGTACCCCTACCTTCGTGGCTGCAGCTGTGACAGACATCACTACTCAATCACAGAGCTCCCTCATGCTGAGCACAGATGTGACCTCAGTTCTGGAAAGCCCACATGGGCTGTTTTATACAAGGTAACATTTGCCAATTCAGCTGCAAGAACAAGTTGTCCTAGGGGCTTCTCTTGGAGGGGTGAGGGTAGGAGCAGCAATGGCCTGAGGTCTGGACTTGGATCCCCGTTCTTGAACTTTTGGCAGGTCTCTCCCTGATTTATAAATGGGCTGTTACTCTGGCACCAGAAGCAAAATCTGTGCATCCCTGCAAATTGGCTTCTCCATGCTGGGTCACCTGTCTGCCCTGCAGGTGCTCAGGGTGTTTGGATTTGTTCCAGCCACCAGACAAGGATCGGGATTGTTACTGGGACCCACACATGAGCTGGAGATGGAAACAGCTCCCAAAACAAGTCCTTTCTGAGGCTCAGGCGAGCAGAGCAGATCTCTGACCAGAAAGCCCTCTGCACAGCGATCAGATGGGAGTGGGGTGGGGTCTGAGGGAGCAGAAAAGGATGGGGAAGGGAGAAGGAGAGAGGAGGGAGGCAGGGCTCCTCTCTTTTCCTCTCACGTTCATCGTTCATCAAATTAGGGGCCTGAGACAGACAGTGTGGATTGACTGGATCCAGGCCCACAGTTACACCTGCCCACTACAAGGGGGCGCAGGGATGTAGTGGAGTCTTAGATTTGGGTTCTGATCCCTGTTCCCACTCACCTGCCTCAGTATCCCCATCTACAGATGAGCTTCCTGTTTCCATGGAGAGCAGCGTCACACTCACAGCCTGTCTGCCCTGTCAGAACTTCCAGCAAGGACTGCACTGGCCCTTCACCCTTATGCACCGGGCTGCAGTACTTTCTCAGTTGGGTCTCATCTCCGGTGGGGAGGTGGGGAATTTAGTCCTTAGGAACCACTGATCCCTCCCTCCCTCCCTCCCTCCCTCCTTCCTTCCTTCCTTTCTCTCCCTCCACCTCTTTTTCTTTCCTTCCTTCCTTCTCTCTTCCAGTACTGGGGATTGAACTCAGGGAGTGCTGAAGTACACCCCCATCTCTTTTTGTTTTTCATTTTGAGACAATGTCTTGCTAAGTTGCCTGCGTTGGCTGTGAACATGTGATCTTCCGCCCCAGCCTCCCAAGTGCTGGGATTATAGGCCTGCACCGCTGCATCTGGCTTTCTTCAAACCTTACGCTCCCTCGTCTTGGTGGAGGATGGAACGGGAGATGGTGTGAGCTATGGCTGTCTGTGTCGCCTATGCCTAGACCAACTAGTTGGTACCTGCACTGTGCGTGTGCAGCAGGGCCCAGCACAGATCGGAGCAGGGTTTAATTGCGTCGGGAGGGGACCTGCTCTTCCCGAATCTTCCTCAGATGCTGTTGTGAGGAGGGCCAGAGAGCACTGCCTTGTGCCAGGCATGGCATCAAATAAGACTGGCACAGTCCTGGGCCTCAGATGGCCATGGGGGGGAGGACTACAGGTCTTAGGCTAGGATAGGCACTCGGATAAGTATTAGACACTTTGTCTGAGCCAACTACCCACCATACAAATCGTGAGGAGGCTGTCCATCCTGCGTCTCTTAGAAACCTCTGGGACCAGATGTGTTTCACATGTTGAACATTTTTTTCTCAGATTTTAGAAACATAATGTTCCCTGTATTTATGCACCACTCCAACATATTCATATTTCTGCAGGAAATACATATGGATAATGCAGGCAAGTGGGATAAATAAAGACTGTAAGTGCCGCTAAGGTCAGCTCAGCTCAGGCTTCACTGCCAAGGAGCGCTGAAAAGCCTTTTTGCTTTTCAGGGCTTGGGGACATTGGGATAGTGAAGAAGGGACGAGGGACTGTCCATTCGCTGAGCTCTGGGCAGCGCTGGACCAAGCACTTTTACTGGAGAAAAAAATATTATATTCTTACTGTAACAGCTGAGGTTGGTTCTATTTATGCTCTTTTAACTTTACAGGAGTGGAAATCCAAGCACAGGGAGGTTAAGTAACTTGCCTGAGGATACACAGTAAGTGGCAGAGCTGGGGTAGAAGCCACTGGAGTGCCAAAGCCTCCCCTGGTCACATAGTTCACAACCCATTGTGTGTGTGTATATATATGTGTGTGCGCGCACGCACGCGCACAGAGATCCTCACAACACAGTGGAATTAGAGCCCCGAACTCCAGGTCCCCAGAGTCTGGAGGAAGGGCCTAAAGTTGCTTAGCGGGTGAATAAGAGGACCCAGAGTAGGTGGCATTTAGAGGGGACTCAAAGGCGGAGGAGGCAGCAGCCAGGCTATGGTGGGGAGAGGAGCAAAGGGAACAGCGTCAGCAGCGAGTGAAAAGGTCTGGGGGGGACAGAGCGTGGAACGCTGTTGCAGCCTGAATTAGGGGGCAGAGAAGAAAGTGAGGGTCCGGCTTGAGTATTGGGGGCGCCTGCTGCTGCCTTCTGCCCCATCTCCTGCTTCCTGCAGAATCCTGTGACGGGAAGAGGTCTGATCCCCTTGTTCTCTGGACCGGGGGAGAGGAGACCACGGGACAGAGCCTTGTCCTCCACGCATAGTGTCTGGACTTTGCCACCCTGGCCGCGCTCACTCCTGGCCCTGCGGGCAGGGGTCTCGGACGGCCGTAGAGGGAAGGACTACAGGTACTAGGTGAGGCGGGAGTGATGAAGCCAGGCGAGCAGTGCCCTGCCTGGGTGTTGCAGCATCTCCTCCCTCCCTGACAAGTGGGTGCTTGGCTGCAGGCAGAGAACGCACAAGCCGCCTCCCTCCCAGAGCCCAGGGCCCCGCTGACAGATGAAATCTTTATCGTGACGGTTTTTATTTGGGACTTGTGTGCGTGTGTGCGTGTGTGAGCGAGTGCAGGCGCATCTGGGGCCCAGGAGGCTGCCGAAATCTCCACGAACATGGCTCATGAATATTCCACGGCAGTGGCTGCCACACTTTACAGTCATCGATTATTTATACGTGAAATAATGAAAGCTTCATAAATAATGAAAGTGCCAGCGTCCCAGCTGTGCCTCCAGCTCCCTCTACCTGGCCCAGGTAAGGACGTGGCTCTGTGGGACCAGCACGTCCATGGGGGGTGGCTACGGCCTTCACAGACCATTGTCTCCCGGGGAAAGAGGCTTGCGTGGCCCAGGAGCATGCGTACACATGTGTGCACCTGCGTGTGTGCACCTGTATGCGTGCTCACACACATGTTCTCACCTGCCCACCCACGGCTGTGCAGCTGGGGCTGTCTACACTGCAGACCTGACAGGTTCATTCCAGTGGGCAGAGAAAAAAGCTTGCTTTTGCTCACAGGCTGGGTAAACAGTGGACAGTGCCTCATTAAATCCAGCCCCACCCTGCCCACAGCAGGAGGGGAAGCTGTTCTAGCCCCTTCCTCCCTCTGTGATCCCTTTCCATACACAGCAGGTCTGGAGACAGGGAAAGCCTCAAATTGACCTTGTCTCCCACTCCTGTGCTCTGTCGAATGTGTCCGAGTCTTTAGAGGGGACAGGTATCTAGAGCTCAGGGCACAGGTGTGCCCAGTGGGGTGGACCTGGAATGGCAGATGAGACTCGACTTGAGCCTTCAGGGCTCAGCAAGCCTTGCCCAGAGGCTTCTGCCAGTGACAGCTTCTACCCCCCTGCTGTCACTGCTGTTATCACCACCCCTCATGGCCACTTGAAAGTGGGGGAAACGCCTGGAGCTCTTTTGCAAGGTTAATGCATCGGCCCAGAGTTGCAGGGCTGGTCCCTGGGGAGCCCGAGGCTGTGTAGTCTTTCCCTTCCTCCTGTACCCTCCAGGCTGAGCCAGGTGTGGGGCTCTAGGTGTTTGGGTGCACGGTTGGTCCTCGGCCATGAGAGAGGGAAGGGTGTGGTCTACACCAAGGGGAACACTGACCTGTCCACTGAAAGGGAAAGTTCAGTAAAATTTAAAGAAAGGAATTACAGTAGACATTTTTATTATTGGTTCAACAGAACCACTTAGGGGAGTTTCGGGAAAAAATTTTAAATTAAACTCTTTTCATTTCAAGATAATTATAGGGCTGGGGATTTAGCTCAGTGGTTCCACCACCTGCCTCACAAACGCAAGGTCCTGAGTTCGATCCCTGGTACTAA